TCTTGCTCTGTTGTCCAGGCTAGAGTGCCGTGGCGTCAGCCTAGCTCACAGCAACCTCAAACTCCTGGGCTCAAGGGATCCTCCTGCCTCAGCCTCCAGAGTAGCTGGACATGTGCCACCATGCCCAGCTAATTTTTTCTATACATTTTTAGTTGTCCAATTAATTTCTTTCTAATTTTAGTAGAAACGGGGTCTCGCTCTTCTCAGGCTGGTTTCGAACTCCTGACCTTGAGCGATCCACCTGCCTCGGCCTCCCAGAGAGCTAGGATTACAGGCGTGAGCCACCGCGCCCGGCCAGAAGAGGTGTCTTTTGCTACTTCGCCCTAGCCCCAAACGCCCCTCTATTGTCTGCTTGGGTGCTTTCCTCTCAGAGGAAAAGGAAGCCCGAAGCTGAGGCCTGTCCCAGGTAAGACAGCGACCAGAATGAGACCCTCCCCTCCTTCCTCGGCGGGATGTGCAGGGGTGCGAGGGAGGGGCCCGCCGTGAAACATCAGTTCCAGCGCACGTCGCTTCCCAGAGCCAAGGCCCTTCCTGCTTTTCTAGCCAGCCCTTCACTCTTCCAAGCCACGCCGTGAGAAGCGCGTCATTTGTCCTTAGCCTCCCACCTGGTTTGGGAAGAGCTTTGAAACCTCTCTCCTCCTTCCCGTCTCGCAACTGCTTCCCTTCCAGAGCCTCCCAGGTCAGCCTGTGCTTTCTTCCCTACAGCCCGGGAACGCCGGCCCCGGGGGGAGCCAGCCCGTCAACCTGAACCATTACGCCACCAAGAAGAGCGTGGCCGAGAGCATGCTCGATGTGGCTCTGTTCATGTCCAACGCCGCGCGGCTGAAGGCGGTGCTGGAGCAGGGGCCGTCCTCTCGCTACTACGCCACCCTCGTCACCCTCATCAGCATCTCGCTGCTCCTGCAGGTGGCCATCGGCGTCCTCCTGGTGGTCATCGGTGAGGAGCCGGGCCCAGAGACAGACTCCGAGCCCGGGCAAAGCCCCGAGGGCCTCCCCGTGCCGCCGCCTCTGCACAGGCCACGCACGGACGCCGTCAGCCCCCGCGGGCAGGCACCCCATCCCAGCTTCCTGAGCCCCACGGCACCGCCAAACGACAGTCCCCACTAACTCGTGGCAGAGTCCCTTACGGCCTTTCCCGGGAGCCCTCACCCCCACTCTTACTAGACGCAGTCTGAGCGCCCCCACCTGGATGAAGCACCCCGCGGGTGCCCCACGCACTGGCCCGTGGGGGCAGAGGCATTTCGGCCCAGCGACGACCCCCTCCCTTGACTCCTGCTGCGTGGGTCTCCGAAGGGCCGACTCTCTGCAAACTCCGGTGGGTGTCGTGAGGGGAGCCCCAGGCCACGGCCCTCCCCTGACCCTCTCCTCCCACGCCCCCTTCCCCACAGCGCGGCTGAACCTGAACGAGGTAGAAAAGCAGCGGCGACTAAACCAGCTCAACAATGCTGCCACCACCCTGGTCTTCCTCACGGTGGTCATCAACGTTTTCATCACAGCCTTCGGGGCACATAATTCAGGGGACCTGGCCGTCAGGGCCTCAAGGAATCTGCTCTGAAACCAGCCTGGGGCCCAGGTGAGGAGGGACGTGGGAGGCCCCTGAGTTTGGGGTAGGAGACAGGTCCCCGGAAGGCCTACGGCGCCGCCGAGGACGGGTCTTAGAGCTTGCGCTGGCGACGGTGCCTCTGCTTCCGTTCTCAGGCTCAGAACCACATCCCGGGACGGGCGGGGCGTCGTGTGGTCAGTGGTGGCTCTGCCCCTGGCAGCAGGGACGATGATGTGGGAGGGCTCCTTGGCACTGTCTAGCAGTCCTTGCTATTCGGATCATGGTCCGTGGTCCAGTGGCATCTACAGAACCACCTGGGCGCCTGCGGGATGCAGAATCCCCGGCTCCACTCCGGACCTGCTAAGCCGGCACGTGCGTTTCACGGAGACGCCAGGAGAACCTGTGCACGCTGGGGTCTGGGGAGCGCTGGTGTGGCCTGCCCTCCTCACCGCGTCTTCTCTGCTTCCCCCACAGGCGCTGGGTCTGGAACTGCTTCTGCCGCCTTCCTCCCTGATCTGCCAGGCCTGTGGGCACTTTCCACAGCCCGAGAGCTCCTGAGAGGGCAACGTAGATGTCCCTGCTCCCTACCCACAGCCCCTGCATCGAGATGTGATTTTGTGAATTCCATCTTGGTCTGGAGTCCTGAGCTCAGACTCAGCTACGAATGACCTTTCCTCCTTGGCAGCATCTCCTGAACCTTGGCCGAGACCAAGTCTGCCCAGCTTAAGGACTCTGGTTCTGACTCCACCCACTCCTTCCCTCTGCTCCAGGCCTCAGTTTTCCCTTCCTGTTTAATGGGCTGACTTCTGTCAATAAAGGTTTCTGCAAATCCACTCTGAGTCAACCTTTTTGTCTTCAGTCCCGAAGGCCCAAACATCCAAGCTGGTCCCTGAATGCCCTTCCCATCCGTGTCCTGCAGAGGGCTGCAAGGAGCAAGCCCCAGGCCTGGAGGGTGGGAAGGCTTTTCAATCACTCCCTCTCCTGCGGTCCTGCGAGTCCACTCCCCTGGCTGCAGAGGCCTCGGCTCATCCCCGTCTGCCCCTTCACTGCAGATCGGCCAATTCTGGACGGACGTACACACGCGCAACCCTTTCCAGAAACCTGTCATAGACGTATTCTAGCTCTCGCGTCATCAGCTTCTGGAGCGTGTGTCTAAGGAACACAGACAGGCACAGCACAGAGAAGGCCGTCCCCCACACAGCAGGCACGAAACTGGTGGTAAGGGGTGACGCCTGGTGTGGGAGAGTCCTTGGCAGGTCCACCTGGCCCCTGAGCCCGACCCTCTCCCACCATGAACGGGCAACAGGAAAACGCAGGAATCTTTTTTTTTCTAAGAAGATGCTATATTTAACTCCCCCCACCCCATCGCACTCCCTCCCGACCCACGGCGCTTCCCTGCAGAGTGGGGCCGCGCCAGGCCCTTCCCCTTAAGGCAGGTGGTGTAGAGGTAACAAAGGTCAAACACAAGGCACTGGCCAGGGACAGAGGGGCGGCGGGGCGGGAAGGCGGGGCTGGCTCCCAGTCGTCAGAAGTGAAGCAGGAAGGCTGCTCTGGCGTGCCGGCCTCCCGGCGCGGTGCCCAGGGATGCACGGCCCCAGAAAGCAGCCCGGCGGCCCAGCTAGCCATCTGCAGCCCCAGCCTACTCCTCCCTTGCCAGGGGCAGGAGGCCTGAGTGGGGACCAGAAAAAGCTACAGCCAGGGAGCAGAGATGGCATTCGTGGGCCATGACCTGTAACTGCAAAGTCTTCGTCCTTCCTGATTCCGTAGAGGGAGGCGGACTCTCCCGGATCCCCAGAAGGCTCCCCACAGGCGCCATCCCCTTGTCCGCCAAGCGTACGCTCTTGGTGAATGCAGCGCCCGCCGGGTAGACCCTGCGGCTCCAAATGCCACATTCGGACTGTCGCACCCCGAGTGTGGGCTCGGCCGACCGGTCCCCGGGGCCCCGGCACAACTTCCACGAGCCCTTCCTCACAGCAGGAGCCGTGTCGCCCCGAGCAGAATCTGGAGGTCGAGACCCAGAGGTCCAACGTGCCAGCGGTGAATTCACAGCAGCAGCGGAGGCGGCAGCAGCAGGAGAAAAATCCCGGCCACGAGCACCAGAGATCATTAGTGCAAGAGAAGTGCGTGACCGTCGGTGACAGGAGGGGCGGCTGGAGGCTACGAAGGCCAAGGCTACGTTCCCTGAAACTGCTTCGCCTTCAGTCCCTCCCGCCCCCGCCCCCTTCCTGCCCTGCCCCTGGCCCCCAGCCCAGGGTCCACCCACACCCTCCTCCTCGCCCACTCCAAGCCGGCGCCCAGGGCTCTCCGTGCACGGGGTGAGTCTGCAGAGTCGCCGGACTGGACGGACACACGCCTTCCACCCCCCTGCTCGGGCCCTTGCCCTGCTCCTTAGCTGAGGGAAGTTGACAGGTGTGGCCCATCCTCCGTCCCCTTCTTGCCGTCCTCTCCAGAGCCTCGCCCCACAGCGAGCCCGGTCCCTTGCCTGCCTGCCCTGCACGGCCTCTGCGCCCAAGCCCCGCCATTCCCCGCCTCCCAACCTTCCTCTCGCACCAGGGACGTGGGCCAGTCCCGCCCCGGGCTGAGGCGAGCACTGCCTGGCCGGGAGGTTAATGCCCTAATCGGCAGCCAGCTGTTTGGGGGCTACCGGGAGAGGTGTGTGTGTCTCTGGAAGGCACGAGCCTGCTCCCCGCAGGAAGGAACGGGCCCAAAGGAACCAACCCCGCCCAAGAAGGGGCCGAAGGCCGCAAAGGGGGAAAAGTCCCCCAGGCGCCTCAACCCCCCAAACCAAAGCCGGCGCCGCAAAACAAGTTTGGGTTTCAAGTAAAAAAAAAAAAACCCCCGAAAAAAACCCGCCGAAAAAAAAAGGGCCCGGTCCCCGGCAACAACCCCGGGAACCGGCCGAACCCCAAACCCCCCCCCCGCCGCCCCGGAACAAGCCCCCCCCTCGGAACCGCCCCCGGCCGCCCGGCCCCCGCCCCCCCGGCCTCCCCCCCAAAAGCCCCCCTTCCGGAGGCCCAGGGGCGGAGAGGGGCCTCCCGGGGCACGGGTGTCGGCCGAGGCCCCCCCGCCACAGCAGGCAGGGCACGGGCGCTGCCACCCCTGGCAGGAAGCGGGCGGTCCACGGCCACCCTCGGTCACAGCGCCTGCGTCTGGCGGCGGTTCCACATGCCCCGCTTGGAGTGGAAGTGATGGAAGAAATTCCTGAGGGAGAGACGCTCCACTTCCAGGCCTGCTTGGAGGACCCTGCGGGGGGAGGAGCAGGCTGGAGCAGGCCCAGGACCCCCGCACCCCGCAGACGGCCTCCCTCCGTGCCCACGGCCCGCAGGGCGGGCCGGGCTGTGCGTCCCAGCTCCAGGACAGCAGGACGGCAGGACAGCACGCCATCCTGCAGAGCCTGCTGCTGTTGCTGGGAGGAGGAGGGCAGCTTACGCACACGCGTGCGTGTGTGTGTGTGCGTGTGCGTGTGTGTGTGAGACATCAGAGGACTACGCAGGACACACAGCCGTGTGCAGAGCACACACGCTACACGCACACCGGGTGTGCGGGGAGCCAGGCTGGCGGACGCCAAGCGGCCGGCACAGCTGCGGCACACAGGGAGTGCCGGGGAGGCGGAGGGCAGCCGCAGACCCCGCCCCAGGCGCCTCCATTCCGGTCTCTCCTCCTCCTCGGGCCTCAAGGAGGCAGGGAGGCCAGGAGCTTGCTGGAGGCCGTGCTGACACGAGAAGCCCGGCACCAAGACCACGCGGGCTGCCGGGCCGTCCGCTCCGGAGCTCCGCCTCGCCCGGCGAGACCGCGTCACCCGCGCAGGTTCCCGCGCCTCCCTTCACCTCAAGTGTCTTAGGACCGTCCTCTTCCTTTGCCTTCTTCCCTCGAGGGGAGAAACAGACACAGACCTAGTTTTTAAGCCTCTGACACTCTGGTGAGTGAGATCTGGGGCAAGTTACTAACTTCTTCTCAAGACTCAGTTTTCTCATCTGGAAAACGGAGACAACTAGACCTGCCTGACCGAGGTATGGGGAGGAACGAACAAGGTCACGTCTGCAGGTCACCTGCCAGGCACCCGGGGCACCCAGCCGCCTCCTGACTGCTCAAGGCCCCTCCCCCGGCTGCTCACCTTGCCCTGCCCCCCCTCACATGTTCCAGCAATTTCACCCTTTCTTGCCCCCTCCCCCTAAGCTCAAACCTCCAGGTCTCATCCTCTTTGCCTCCTGCCGTGGTAGCGAACTTCGCCAAAGAGGACCCCCAGACACGCCTCCTCTCCCTGCCCTGCCCCGTGTCACTGCCCAGCCCCGCTCCCTGCTTCCACGCCGGCCCTCGCCACCGGCCGCCCACGGGGCTCCCGCCGCAGGCTCCCTCTCTGAGGCATCCGTACCACTGCGCACCTCCCTCCTCCCCACGCCTCCATGTCGCCTGGCTTCCAGGGACCCACAACCTCCTGGGTGTCCTGTTGCCCCTTCATGGTCCACACTGTCTCTTTTGCCGGCCCCAAAGTCCTTCCCGACCCTCGGCCCGTGTGCCCACTATCCACGCCCACGGCCTCGCGCGCCAGACAGCTGTGCGGGCAGCTGCCACCGGCCAGGGAGAACGCGGTCAGCTTCTCCTGCGGCACCTTGCCTGGCGCCGAGAACATCACCGTGTACACACGCACAGCTCAGCGACTCTTGCTTTCCTCTGACAGTTTATCAAGGACGCGAGCCCTGTGACACAGACAGAGGCAGGACCGTCCCCTCTAACGGATGGAGAAACTGAGTCTTGTGAGGTAAGCAACTGGACAGCTTCCCACCCCGCCCGCGTGTCGGGCATCTGCGGCCACGGGGCACAGCCAGGTGGCTCCAGCCCTGTTCCCGCTCTGGGGAACTTGGGGAAAGAAATCCCAGCAGGTGCCCCTAGCGCCCTCCCCGTCCCAGTCACCTGTCCAGCAGCTCCCAGTCTTCGCCGCCCCAGCGGTCTCGGAACTCCTTGGTGTTCATGCCCCCGACCTTGTCCAGGTCTGACTTGTAGATGCCAAGCAGCCCAAACCCGTTCACCTCCCAGTAGCCTGCGGACAGACGAGAAGCTCCAGGGAGATGGGCCAGCGGCCGGGGGAGGCGAGGAGGAGGCTTCCGAGCGGGTTCCCAGAGCCTCCTCTGAGCCCGGGCGTGGGGCGGGGCGGGGCGTGGCGGAGGCCGAAAGCTGCCTCAGCTGGCAAGTCCCTCGCCTGTCCTGGGCGGTCCCCTAGCTAAGGTTCGGGTTCAGCAAAGGTTGAGGCGGTGCCCACGGGCTGACGACAGCCCCACAGACAGGATCCGACAACAGCAGCCCTGAAGGCACAGCGGGCGTCAGTTTCCCCGTGCACCCCCGCCCGTGGGCACGGACCCTGTCTTTCCACCTCTGTCTCCTCTCTGGGGCGCGGCACTGGCAGGCAGGAAAGGCTTCGCGGGCGACTGACCAAGGGACGGAGGGAAGGTGGGGCAGGAAAGGTTTGGGCTGCGGTGTCTGCTGCTGGAGCCCTCTCTGGCAGACCGCCAGGGGGCAGAGGCCGCGGGAGGGCAGGGCCGGAGGACGCTGTCGCGGACAGACATGACCATGTGCAGCTCTGGCCGGGGCAGGGCTCACCCTCAGGCCTTTGGGGGGTGGCCCCACAGTGCAGCCGCATCACCATGGGGGCGAAGGCCATCTTGCCCTCCACGCAGTGCTTCCGGATGGCGTCGATGACTCCCGCTGGGAAGTGGATGTGCAGGTCGCAGAGAAAGACGATGCCGTGCGGGTCCTGGGGACAGACGCGGGCGGGTCAGCGGCTCCCGCCCACCAGGCCCAGGCGGCCGGGAGAGTGCCCAGGGCCCTCCCTGTTGGGACGACTCTCACACTTCCACGGAACTAACCCCGTGCTGGGTATCGGAGCGGCTTTCACCATCAGAGAGAGAATTCTGACCGCCCCCGGCATGGGCGCCAGGGACTCTGAAAACCGGGCAGATGTCCCACTGCCACCCACAGCCCAGCAGAGGACCCTCGTGTCCTCACGCCCTGCCGTGTCCTCACCTCTCCCTCCCGCCTTCCTCTCCGAGGGCTGACCGCCTTACACATCCCGATCGCCTTTCCACCTCCTAACCAGCTTGAGTCGCATCTCCCACGCCCCTGCCAGGCCCTCACCTTCACCAGGTCTATGCCAGCCTGAAGTCCAGCCGAGCGTTCAAAGTTTCCGTTCAGCTTCGTGTACTGGTAGCTGCAGAAGGGCGAGGGGCTGGGATCAGGGCGTGGCTGTGGCGGTCCCCTGCAGGGAGTGGCCCCTGCAGGCAGGCATGGAATAGAGGTGACAGGTGCTCCTAAGGAAGGGATTATGGGCTGGGGGCCTCTCTAGAAAAATCTGGAGACTGGGACTCAGGACAGCGGGGCAGCACTTCTGGCTCCACCTTGGACTCCAGAGTCCTAGGGCTTTAGGGAGGAGGAGCAGCCCCACGCCACACTCCAGCCGGGGGTCCCCTCACCTCCGCAGCTTGGACCTCTCCAGCGCCATCTTGACGTCCATGTCCTCGCTGCTGTAGTCGACGATGATGACGTTGAAGTGTGGGTCGCCCGTGACCTGCGACAGGTTCTCCATGTCTCTGATGAACTGCTGCACCCAGCGTGCTTGGTTCTTCACTGCCCAGTGGCCCGGCCGGGAGAGGGAAACCGAGGTAAGGCAAAGACGAGCATCTGCACTCCCAGCTCCAGCACGAGCTGGGAGTGCCCACTGGACCTCCACTGGGCTAAAGAAACTACAGGGAACTGTCAGCAAGGCAGCACCGAGACACCAAGGCGGGGGGGGGGGGCTCATCAGTAAACAGGGCCTCTGCACCCCACTTCCCACGTGTCCCCCCAGGCAGAGCGCCATGAGAAGGCCTTGGGCTGGGGCTCAGTAACCCTGCCATGCTCTGACAATCAAACCTTGCTATCTGTCCATCTTACCATCATCCTTCACTTCCTGCCCTGCCCGTTACATACCTGCCTGTTACGTGTTCTCTTCTCATTATAAAAACCAGCCCATTGCTCTATTAAGTGCCCTCCTTGTCTTATTTCCCCAGACCAGTTGTAACCCCTAGTACGACAACCCCAGCTGATGACCACATCAAGCCCTGAAACCTAGTGTGGAAGCAAGAGCACTGGCCCATAAGTCAGTATCTATTATTAGTGCCAACATTTACTAGCCGTGTAACCTTCAACTAGCTCCTTTTCTTTTGTGAGCCTCAATTTCCTCAACCGTAAAGTGGTCTTTCTCAGAAGTTTTTTTTTTTTTGAGACAGAGTCTTGCTCTGTTGCCCAGGCTAGGGTGCCTAGCTCAGCCTACCTTACTGCAACCTCAAACTCCTGGGCTCAAGCAATCCTCCTGCCCCGGCCTCCCAAGTAGCTGGGACTACAGGCATGCACCATGATGCCCAGCTAATTTTTCTATTTTTAGTAGAGACAGGGTCTCGCTCTTGCTCAGGCTGGTCTCTAAATCCTGAGCTCAAACGATCCTCCCACCTCGGCCTCCCAGAGTGCTGGGATTGCAGGTATGAGCCACTGCGCCCGGCCTCTCAGAAGTTCTTGTGAGATCTGGCCAGGTGCAATGGCTCACGCCTGTAATCCTAGCACTCTTGGAGGCCAAGGCAGGTGGATTGCTTGAGGTCAGGAGTTCGAAACCAGCCTGAGCAAGAGCGAGATCCTGTCTCTACTAAAAATAGAAAGAAATTAATTGGATAACTAAAAATATACAGAAAAAATTAGCTGGGCACGGTGGCGCACGCCTGTAGTCCCAGCTACTCGGGAGGCTGAGGCAGGAGGATTGCTTGTGCCCAGGAGTTTGAGGTTGCTGTGAGCTAGGATGACATCACCGCACTCTAGCCCGGGCGACAGAGCAAGACTCTGTCTCAAAAAAAAAAAACCACAAAAAAACGAACTTCTTGTGAGATCAAATCAGCGAAACAGACCTGGTGCTCATGATGACTATTACTGGGATGCCCACCCTGCTGACAATGCCCGGCACGGCTTGAGGCTTACCGGGCACAATGAAGTGGACCACGGCTCGGTGATTCCACGAGAAACCCTGGGGCCAGCACAGCTTGGGCTCTGGGGTATGGACATTCAGGACACGTCTCCGACGGTTGTGCGGGCCCCAGACCAGGCCGTGCAGGTTCCGGGCCTCAGCCTCCTCCCTGCCAGCTGGACTGACGCCCTGCCAGTCTCGTGTGGACACGTATTCAGAGAGCCGCACCAGGCGCTGTCCTTGTTCTAGCAGTTCTAGCTCCAGGAGGTAGCGACCCCCACGCAGACGGTCCTGACGCTTCTCCACGTTCACAATGCGCTGTAGTTGGTACCTCCTACGGCAGAAAGGGTGGGCAGTTGAGTAATTCCTTCCCACGCTGCGCGGGGACTATGGTGCGGTAGAAGCCTGCAAGGCCGGGTGTCGGGAGACCCTGGTTTTGTCCTAGTTTTGCCACTGGCGAACTGCAGGTCTCAGGCAAGACGAACAACCTCTCTAGGGTTAGCTGCCTCCATCTTTAAAGATGAACCTATTGAGCCGTGATAACCTCTAAGCTCGTCTCGGCTCTAAGATTCCAAGCACGTAAGATCAGTAAGAGGGGTCACAGTGAAGAGGTTCCTTGAGAAATTGACCCTCATTAATGAAAAGTGCTCTGTTCAAATCAACAGTCCAAAAGGAATGAGTTATTATTAATAGATCAATGTTGACTGGTTGGCTCGAGATCAGCAGTTACTAGAGAAATGCAAATCAAAACCACCATGTGATGCCATTTCACATTCATTAGGATAGCTACTTAAAACAAAACAAAAGATAACAGAAAATAACACGTTTGATAAGGATGTAAAGAAACCAGAATGGGCCGGGCGCGGTGGCTGAC